ATCATTTCTTCATATTTGTCTGGCAGAACTCAAGGTGTAAAAATCAGGAATGATCTATCAACAATCAAAAACGTAACAATGGGGTTACCGCAAGGATCCATTCTCGGCCCAATCCTCTTTTTAGTGTACATAAATGACCTACCTAAATTAAGCAGTAACATGATTTGTCTGTCTTATGCTGATGATACTGCGATTGTTTTCAAAAATAAAAGTATTGTCGAACTTCAAAACAATGTCAGTACGCTTTTGCTTCTAATGGCTTCTTGGTTTGCTGCTAATTTTCTCTCCCTGAACGTATCGAAAACATTCACACAGCATTATACAACCCTTTCTTCGCATTTCCGACTAAATGTGCAAATTAATAATTCACCTATTGAAGAGAAAAAGAAATTAAATACCTTCGTGTAATCATTGACAAATCTCTTAAGTTTACAAGCCACACTAATTTTGTTGCAAGCATAGTAAGTAGAAATATTGGAATAATAAGCAGGGTTAGGTACTTTATTGATAAAACAACGTCACATCTACCCTATAACACTTTGATTCTTCCTTACCTAAATTACTGCTGCTTGGTTTGGGGCATAAATTATGCTTCTCAACTAGATCGATTGGTAATTTTGCAAAAAAGGGCTGTGCGTCTTATAGAAAATGTGTATCCTCCGCAAAGCTCAGAGCCAATCTTTAAACGATACAAAATTTTGAAACTATCGGATATTGCTAAATCTCAAATCTTAATTGTGATGCACAAATTTTTAACTTCACAGCTCCCTGCATCATTTGATTTAATTTACAATCTCTACGAATCCAATGACATGGATATGAGGCGAGCAAAACATTTAGAACAGCCTTTCTCTTATCGTAATTATGGACTATTTACAGCATCCTGCCTTGGCCCTAAGCTGTGGAACGACATTATGGTTCCATATTTTCCAAGAATAGCTGATATCCCTGTATCGAAAACCATCGTTAAGAACATCATCCGCAAGCATTTCGTGAACACATATTAACGTAACAAACATATTTGAAGACATTGCCATCCTTGTGCTGTACATATCCAACGCACTTCATATTTGACCTCCTTCATGTTTCATAATCAATTTCTGATATAAAGTCATGCACATATACCCAAATTAGTGGCGCTGGCTCCGGGAGTTCTCCCAGCAACAAGCTCTGCTTAGCTGGGTGGACTTCCTGGAAATCCAGCCCAAAACCCAGCACAAAAATGACCAGGTAATTGCCCCCTCCGACTTGTGACTGTATAACCCTTACTAACACCGGGAATTGAGTGGTTGTAGATTATTGGGCGGTTGTAGCGGGCTGTCATTAGCTGATTTTGGCTAATGACTACTTTAAGCCTTTTCATCTATGATTTTCCCTCCCTCTCACATAACACAATTCCCTCGGGTCTGCTCCACCTCCTCGCCTGTTTTTTTTTAAGTTTGTTTCATCTTCCTAGCTGGGAGTGCCGCGACTTGATTTATGTTTTCTGGTGTTAACGTACGGTTTTACTGCGTCGCGGGATTGAGGGAGGGGCACTCCTGGTTACCCTCTTCTTGGGTAACTGCGTAGAAAAAAAAAATGCAATCTGCAGATAAATTTTTCTGTCAGCCAGTTGCCTTATGTGGTTTCGACACTTGGTGCTGCATCGCCTCATATACGAATGCTGAAGTGGGTAATGCCGTTCTTAAACATGATCCCGAAACGGCAGATGACATGGGATACTCGCGTGACATTTCTATGGTGTCATACAAGCTTGGGGGGATATTTCTGTAGACGGCGCGACATAGGCTGCACGGTGCTGCACATAGCTCAGAAACGAAAGGATCTGAAGTCTCGAGAAGCACATGGATGTGTACTGCTGGGGATGGTCCATGAACATGTCTATCTCATTTCCAAATCCCATTCAAATGTGAAATGGTGCCTTTAAGAGGTGCTTCGCTGCAAGGGACTTGCAAGTTCACAGTCCCGATCACCACCAACCTGAACCTAAGTCAGCACCACCAACCTAAGCCGTGCAAGTTCCGTGGACACCTTTGCGCCACAGGTAGCAGGGGAGCACAATGCTGCGACCCTGACTGGGGTGTGGGTAAAAACCGCATCTCTGACATAGGGGCGCAAGCCAGGATTGGAGGAGTCACGCTTGGACGGGGGGGGGGGGGGCATGCAGGCCTGACAATGCCATCTGGAATGGGAAAACGTGAAACATCTGCATTTTAAAGATGGGAGGAACAAGTCCCATTTCGTGAAACTTGTGTATGTGTGGGGGAGGCGTGTCCACCCTCTGTTGCTACACACGTGAACCGGGACGATTAGCAGCCACGCACAGGCACACGGCAGATGAAGCTGTGTGCGGCCGAGCATGGGATGACCTTGGCCCCGGCCAGCTCGGTGGCGACGCAGTCTAAGCCGACGCCAGTCTTGGGCTCATCGGGCAGCCAGGTTATGTTCCAGGCAGTGCCGTCCACCGAGCGGAAGCTGCTGTCGGAGGCCCGATGCAAGCCGACGTGTGTGCTCGTGGTGACTGGCATCACCACCCTCAGGATGTTCCACGTGCCGGCGGAGGGGAAGGAGGCGAGCCGCGCGCCCGGCTGCTGCGCCGGGCACAGAAGGGCGGCAATGTGCCAGGTGGGCCCAGGTGGAGAAGTAGCCGTAGCAGAAGGCGTCCAGGCCGAGCCAGTCAGCCGGGCAGGGCAACCGCGTTTGGCAGCGGCGCGGCACCTTGCGGATGTAGCCTTTGCGCAGGTCTGTGCACGGCCGTGCCGCGAACGTATCCATGATGAATTCCTTGCGAACGTTGACGCAGAGCCGACACCGGTAGCCGCGTTGAAGGCTAGCACGGGTTTGGCTGACGGCTTCGAGCCGTCGATATCGATGAACGTGCCCTCGTCCCAGGTGCGCATGCCAATGTACTCGCCGAAAGGTGGCCGGCTGCTGTGATGCAGTATCCAGGCGGCCTCGGCCACGTCCGTGGTCGTGGTCAGGTCCGCGCAGGGGCCGCGCGCGCAGTAGGCGGCCCGGCTCGCCTCCCAGTCAAGACCCGACATCGTGGACGACCGCAGGTACAGCTGTCGCCGAACAGCTGCCAGCCGGCCGGGCAGGGGCGTCAGCTCTTCGCTCACGTACTCGACCGGCGTGCTGCCTGCCGGTTGCGGCGCCGGCACCGTCGCCGGACCACAGCGCGTCGAATAGCTGGCAGTGGCCGCTGGCGAAGCTGAAGCCGCCGCAGCCGGGCCGCCACCGGCAGCAGGCGGCGCAGATCAGGCGAGAGGGCGCCGACAGCTGAGCGACGGCGGGGCCCGACACGATGCCAGGCTGGCGGGAAAAGCGGCCGATGACGAGCGCGGCGCAGCTGAGCGCCACGACTGCTGACAGCGGGCAGGGCGTCATGCTGCACGTGACCCGGCCGGCGCGCGCGACGGATGTACTGGCCACAACGCCAGGCGGTGGTGGCGAGGAACAGGACGGGATCGGGTGAGAAACATGTAATTTGAGCGCATCACGATTCGGAAAACGTCGCAATTGGTGTCGGACCCAATTTCAAGCCTAGAGATAATTTGGATGATGGTTCAATGATTGCTTTGATCTTATGTTTAGATGGTTGTCAAATTCGAGGAGTAGGGGTGTTATCTTTATTGTAGCTTTGAGTCGCGTTACCATTTATGACATTAATGACAGAGGCGGGTTCCGAAACAGCACCCACAAAGGCGTGCTTCCAACTGCAAAGCGAACACATGCAAGACGGAATTATGTTTAAGCGACTTGCAGCCGTGCTCACAATTCCTTGATAATAGCTTAGCAGAAGCGATGCGTCATATGTTTTGCTGCGTCGACAAAACGTTGGATAGCGGGGTATCGGTTTCCTGATGTTTTTTTACTGGATTAATGTCTGAACGATCCGGAGCGTAGTGAACTTGAGATAGCTTATCTTCCATCCATATATGCACGCGAAAACTTGAAGCGTCTGACTTTGATGGTCCATGACTTGTAATTTTTTTCCCCAAGTCATGTCGGTAATATTTTGTTCAAAAGTGACATAAAACGCCACGGGTGTCTGTTTACATTCTTTTGTGAGGGCCCCAGCCCCCGAATGTTTATCACGATGTACAGACAAGGTGATGATTTGTGTATAGTGTATATATCAATACACCATACAATATAGTGTTTATATCAGACACTGCATGATTTTGATGTATGATTTATCAGACACCGCATGATTTTATTGTATATATATATATATATATATATATATATATATATATATATATATATATATATATATATACGTGCGTCTGTGTGTATATGTATGCATAAGTGAGCTCTTTTGCCGCCTAACACTTATATTTCCCTGTATGAAGGTACAATCTACATGTAATATATCCCCTTTCGTCCAAACCAAGGCACAAGCCATTCAGAGTTTTTTTTAGGGTGGCACTCTGAGTTGCATCTTATTCGTGCCGTTCGCCAACAACTCGAGCCCTTGCGTTTCCAATAACATCATTGTCATCCGATTGGCAGATGACACACACATCTTCGTCGGCGGAAACTGAACGATATGAAGCAGCTTATCGCCGGGATGGAACGAGCGCTCAGCTCATCAGTGGTATTGGCACAATGACACGGAGCTAAACGCTCACAAAACACATATTATTGATCAACACTCCAACGACGCTGCGAGATTTGCCGCCAGTCGCGCTGATCTTCTGTGGTGCGACAGTCCCTAGCTCCATATCAGTCAGAAATATCAGTCACCACCGGCCGTCACCTCAGCTGCCACGCGGGCCATGTGATCCCGGATGCGACCTTAAAGAGCATTCTGCAAGCGTCGGTGTTGTCCTTAATCAGATATGTATGTCTGCATACGGCTCCTGTAGCGATACTCAGAGGCATCGAGTGTAGAAGATTACAAAATTGTGTGCACGGGTGGTGGCAGGCAGAAGACAAGACGACCACATATCGGACGCTATGGAACCACTTGGGTGACTGACAGCCAGACAAATACCTGTCACACTCTTCCAAGCTGTGCGTGCTGTTTCTCTCTCGCATCAAGCCTGAGCTGCCTGACAGCATGTATTACACGATGGGGTAGCGTGCGAATCAAAGGCACGCACAAGCCACCAGACGTGCCGCGTGCCTGACCCGGCCGCAAAGCCGCACGGCAGCGGAGAGTCACCGGCCGTGCTACCGGGGCGTGGAGTTGTCGATATGCCCGGCATCGACCCTCAAGCGCCGGCTTTTCGACGCCACGTGAAACAAGTAATAGGTACTGTGAGCGTTGCCGACCAAACTCGGACTTGTGATTTTTACAATGTTCTTTTACACTGCATGTTCTGCATCTCTATATATTATGTGAGCGTGTGCTACCCCGCCGGTGGCATGATTGCTCTTTTCTGTGTTCCCGACATATTTTGTATACCACGACGTACCTAAGTGAAAAGCCACGATGTGAATCTAATGTTAACACGCGCCCGGGTGCCCGGCTAAATACCCTTTGCTCGGTTTGGGGTCAGTTTGACCCCCTGAGATCTCGGGAACTAAGAAAGCTTAAGACACCAAATTTGCAGAGTGTCTTGACCTCTACATTAGCTCACTTAGGTCAAAGTTTGGGCTTCTTAGGTCATGACCTTCAGGCTTAAATAAGGTCAAACAAGGTCAAATTCGAGGACGGTCTCCAAAGTGCCCCCAGAACCTAGGAAACTGTTTCTCAGCAAAAGGTCACAAGCCCAGTTGAGGTCACTGACCTTTTTTGACCTTTTGAACGTCATGGTGACCAAAATCGTACAAGACTGCTCTCAGTTTTGCATTTGAATAAACGACAAAGATTGCGCTAGGCAGTATGTTCCTAAAACAAAATGCCGACCCGGGTCATCTCAGGTCAATGACCTGTTCTGACCTCTAAGAAGTCAATGGAAGATGCATAATGTGGTTCCTGCTGTCAATAAGTTCGAAATGAACACCACAACCTATCCCATACAGCAAGCCCTAGAGTAATAGATCAGGTTGGTTTTCACCTTAGTCTAACTTTCAAACCTGACCTTAGGTCAAAGTAATTTGTTCATTTAATATTTGTGGTGCCTAAGAAAGCATCTCAGACATGTATGGCTTCGTCAAACACTCCGTTATTGTATGAGATTGGACGATTCCCTGGAAATTGCCTTCCCTAAAACCATGGCCTGACTTTGACCTGCCATAAGTCAGCGATCTTACAAGGTACATCTAATTTTTGATGTCAAACGATCCGCTATTCAGTTGTCTACATTATGCAAAATTTGGCGCGACTACACCGCGCCGTTCGCAACCCATTCTGGAAAAACCCTCAGGGTGTTAATTTGACCCCCCCCCCCGAGGGTGTGTTAAATACATCATTATCATCATCGTCAGCCGGCCCAGTATTTGTACACGGTGGTACTATCCGTGCGAATGGAGGCACATCATCAGTGTACGACCGAACAGAAGACGTATAGACACGGCCCAACATTCTCGTCAGGTGGGTCGGTTGACGTGAAACGTGACGCGCGCGCACGCACACACACACACACACACACACACACACACACACACACACACACACACACACACACACACACACACACACACACACACACACACCACACACACACACACACACACACACACACACACACACACACACACACACACACACACACACACACACACACACACACACACACACACACACACACACACACACACACACACACACACACACACACACACACACACACACACACACACACACACACACACACACACACACACACACACACACACACACACACACACACACACACACACACACACACACACATACACATACACATACACATACACATACACATACACATACACATACACATACACATACACATACACATACACATACACATACACATACACATACACATACACATACACATACACATACACATACACATACACATACACATACACATACACATACACATACACATACACATACACATACACATACACATACACATACACATACACATACACATACACATACACATACACAATACCATACACATACACATACACATACATCTCCTCTCTCTCTCTCTCTCTCTCCTCTCTCTCTCTCTCTCTCTCTCCTCTCTCTCTCTCTCTCTCTCTCTCTCTCTCATCTCTATCTCTCTCTCTCGCTCTCTAAGGCCATAAGGGCCATAAGCCATATATATATATATATATATATATATATATATAAGATATATATATATGCATATAAATGTCTGTATATGCATATGTGTGTGTGTGCACGCATGCGTTTCTGTAACAGAAATGTTCCAAAAGTCATAGGTAACGGTTGTCATGTTCCAACACATGTGGGAACGTTTGAGCAGCTCTCGAGCTAGATAATAGGTGCAAGTTCTGCTAATCGCTGTCGCACACCAACTACAAGCAACGCACACAAAACCGTCTTCGCAGTTGTTCCTCGCACGGATGGCAGTTATCATGACACGCATTTGTGTACTGAAGAGGCTTGACGTTTCTTTTCTAAGCTGCACAAGTGACCATGTGGTGATGTGCCACAGGTCGATTCCTTCCTGTAGTTCTAAAAATGTTCATTCCGAATTAGATTGAAGGTAATAAAAGGTGACTCGTGACAATGGGCTCAGCCTCAAAGTGTCGAGGTTTGGGCGCGAAAAGACAGGCGAGAATATAACAAATGCTTTCTTGATAACGTCTTTATGCCAGCATCTCCTGAAAAAATGAAGGTAGATCGAAGGCAAAATATTGGCAACACAGTGAGCTGCAAATTATGGGACTGCCATTCAGCGGCCAGGCAGATAGAGTAAGAGGGGCAGACACCCTGACCCTTCCATTTCTTGAGAGTTACAAGGCAAAGCTGCTCTCATTCACGCTTCGCGGAGACGATTACGCACGTGCGCTGCGCGTGCTTCGGCATATCCACGGCACGAAAAGAATCGTGTCATTAAACCAGCATCTGCTAATGAAATTTTGTATTCCACTTCTTCGAGCAGATAGGCCACATAGGCCACATGGGCACAGTAACTAATTTCATGGGCATATAGGTGGATACACTTGTCACTAATGTCATGCTATATTCGTCACGAACTGAGAAGCATGCATGCCTCCATCATGCCCACTATATCGCAAACATGCTTCTTTTGATGCTCCCAGCGTTGCCGCGACGAAATCTAGAAGAATTCAAAGCTTTGGATACGAAAGAACCACGGTCCAAAACTGCAGCTACGTAGAGCTGTGTCCAGCTGCTTTGGGAAAGCTAGTGCAGGGCGTATTGAGGGAAAACTGCGCAGACCCTGAACACGTAGATGTTGAAAATAAGAGAAAGCAAGTCGGCTCTGCCTGCAATCAGGTTTTAAGAGAAGAGAACCTGATGCTCAAGGTGTTCGAGCGTAATATAAATATCCCGAAGCGGATATCACTCGACAGCGCTCAAACCTACATCATCACGTTCAACGCGCTGCTGACGAGAGGGATACGGTGGATAACGTCAAGGAATCACTTCTGAACTAGAGTAAACGCTTTAAGCCAGTCGTCACCAGGAACTATGAAACAATATATATATATATATATATATATATATATATATATATATAACACAACTAAACAATTGTATTTGGAAGCGATTTTGAGCTCGGACAACGATCGAAGATGGCTGAAAATGACTTCAAGAATCCTTATGTGCCCGGAGAGGACGGCTGTTGACGGCTGTCAGAACCGTAGCACTATCGTCCAGCAAATGTTAAACAGCCTCAGCTTCATGAGCGCGACTATGTGGCAACGCACTCCGCAATGTTCTATATTTGTTTCACTGGGTAGGTGACGTGAGATGTCGACGTTGAGCACAAGCAGTAATGCACCAATGAGACAAAAGGATGCCAAGAGAGGAGGAGCAGCGTGACAGTCACAGGACTGCATGACGGAAAATGAAGAGTCGGCGTTTCGCATCGTGATGTATCGTATGCCAGCATTGCAATCATAGTCCAACGTGTTCTCACCGAACACTTTTCATTCAACCACACGACGTAGGAGTGCTACCAAATGTAATTGCACCATACGTGCTAGCAAGCTCCAACCAATTGCCTTCGGGTTCGAATAACAGAACCTACGGGGTCCGCTGCCATCATCACAGACTTCACATGGGAATCACATGAGACTCACACGAGAATCGCGCTTCAAAGGCTAACCAACTTTCCTTCTTGGTTACAATACCATAGCGAAAGCGAGGCGGAGCCGACGAGCACGGTCTACGCACAACGCACACGCGTGTGTGTTATACATCATTCAGGACTGGAGTGGGAGAACCACGTCAACTAGCAGCACTCCATCGCAGCACAGGTGTGTAGCTCCTGGATCCCTGCAGCACTGCATCAGCATTCACGTAGGCGTCATCACTGCAGGGGCAAGAAGAAGCTCGGAGAAACAAGAAAGCAATCTTTAAAGGGACCGCGCCCGGTTTTTCGCCCCATGTGTGCGCACAGGTTCTGCCGAACCATCCGACAGCCCTGACCTACCCCTCAGTTTCCAGCCTACTGAGCAATACTCAATCACATGGCCCTGGGCCCGAGACCAGTAGACTGCTCCAGTCTCAGTCCAGGCCTATCACCCGTAGCACCCTCAGTCTCATGGCCGTCCCTGGCTCGGCCTAACTGGCACCTCGTCATATTTCAACATATTCTCCGCCCAGCCCTCCTAATCAGATTCCGTCCGCAAGTGCCCATCCCCAGCGCCAAGGCTCCGACGCGAGCCGCCGATCCGGCAGCTCGATGAGCGCCGCGCTAGCCGGCGCTAGCCGGAGTGGTTATCATCGAAGCTGCTGTCGCGTAACAGCCGCGCCCGGCCCTGAAGCCTCGCTCGCGCTGGACAGGAAGCGCATCGACCCGGCCGCCTCGCGCGACAGCACCTCGTCACAGCGACTTGAGAGGAACGTTGAGAGGCCGGGCGTCCCGTTCAAGGCGTCCCGACCGTTGGCCTGCAGAGAGACACCGCTCTGGTCCAGCTCTCGCTGCAGGTCGTGGTTGCCGGCCATGCGTGCGTACGCGGCCGGCGTGAAGCCAAGCATGTCCTTGGCCGCCGGGCTCACGCCGTAGGCCAGCAGGAGCCGGCAGATGTCGGCATTGCCCGACAGCGCCGCCTGCCGGATCAGGGAGGAGTTAGCAGGAAGAGACGGCAGCGCTGCCTGCCGGACGTGGGAGCGGGCGTGGTTTCGTTTCAAGAATGATGGAATCGATTCAGACTCCATGTGCGAGTGACGCAAATTCGATTCGACTTCGATTCTGACCCAAGGATAGGTGGTGAAATTCTGGAATCGGTTTCAATGCAGCCAATTACCGTGGTGGCATTCTATAGGTTGGGTGTGCCGTTCTATTGAATTCGTTAAAACCTTCATAGGCCATTCGCTTTGACAGCAAGATGGCATCTATAACTCTATCCATATGGTCCACGTATAAGCTCTGTCACACTTTGAATATCATTGTTACAATGTTTCTCTCAGTAAAAGCACTAGGATGACAAACGAAATCAATGAAATCTATTGCATTTCCATAAACAAAAATTTGTTTGATTCTCAGGTCGCGTACAGCTCCACCTGGAGACGAGAACAAGCTTGCCCAAGAGTATTCCTCCGGGAGGGCACAGGGTGCTTTTATATTGGATACGAACAACAGAACAAAAACGAATCCGTTATTTCCTATCACCTGTCGGAAAGGTAAATCTCTGACTTGCATTTCTTTTTGTTTATTTTATTTTTTTGAAACCGCTAGCAGCACCTATACTTTTGAAATGGCAGCGAAAAACGCAAGACACGGTGAACAATTTTGTGCCATTAGCATGTTCCGTATAAATACATTTTCTACTTCTCGTAACCAGCCCTGCACGTGCTATAGCTCATCCATCTGCTCGCTTTAGCGGAAGGCCATTGTCCTGTTGGGTATGACGCAATCATAACTTCGTCCAAGATACACACCGCGCGCTGCTTACGCTATACTTCACTAAACAGACATGAGCGGCACCACAGGCAGCACTGGCACCATACCACGTGCAGGGCGGTGCGTCCGGTGGCGTCCGGCTGGCCGAGGTCGGTCTGGGCCAGTCGGTATGCCTCCAGCATGGTGACCCGGCCAGTAGCGGCGGCGCTACACAGCTGCTCGCCTGGCGACGGAGGGGGGGGGGGGGGTCGTCACAGCGGGGAACAGCTGCCCCCCTGAGGACGGGGGCTGGGGTACGTCACAGCAGGGAACATCTGCTTCCCTGGTGACGGGGGGGGGGGGAGGCAGAAGTACGTCACAACCGGGAACAGCGTACCCCCTGGCGGCGGGCGGGGAGAGGGCAGCACATCACGACGTGTCACAGCGCTGGCCAGTTGGAGAGTCACGTCACTACACCGTACATCCACACCTAGTGCCTGATGTCTAGAGCATGTGATCCCTGGCGGCACAGACAGCCTGACATCACAGCGCACGTCACATCGCGTCAGGTGACGTGGCGCGACAGGTGACGTGACGTGGCACGTGACGTGACGTGGCCGAAACAGGTGCGTAGTCGGTAAATTGTGATGTGACGGTAAGTCATGTGAGACATGGCGTGACATCAGTGAGATGGACACAGCTATCAAACGGAAAATTCCCAGCTGTCTCATGGAGCCACATCGAATCTTAGCAAAGCATGGATAATGGACCTCTGCGATCTGGTAATCATCTCTGACAGCCACATAGTGCCTACATGCAGAATGTAACTACACGCAATGCGATAAAAGATGACCCAAGCACATGTTTGTCTTGGAGAAACCCAGGTGATGACCGTCATTTATCGCAACAAACGCTGCATTGCATATCCAGCGCAAATACGCCCATTTCAGCGACGGCGGCTCATACAACTCTCACCCAACTTGTGCTTGATCCAGTGTACAGTTGAAATCGACTCCGGAACGAACGAAATTTGAGTTTTGCCACGATGGAATTGAGGCCTTTTAATTTGTCTCGTGATTCGAACCCAGAATTAACTCGACATAATCATCGATGACTAGACTCCATTAGGGACGCAAATAACGACGCATATTAATGCTATGACACCCTATACGCGGACCAAATGAAAATCACCGATGCAGACATATCTTGAGATTAGAATAGGCGTTCTATGTAGGCCTTAATATCACAGAATACCTCCTCATTTGTCAAGGAAAGCGATTCCGCCGGGACTGATCCCGAAAAGTTGAGCCACTTCTCCTCGATTTGGCATTGAGATCAATCCAATGTTGCACTGCCTTACACGAAGTCAGAGCCAAAATATGCCCCATGCGCTGTAAGTCGGAGCCGGGCCCGATTCCATTGAAGCAGGATCAAGCACGAGTGTGCCGCCCTCTCCATCGGTAGCAGGCATTGCACGTCACGCGGTCCCGTTCTGAGGCGTCACTCTCCCACGAGTGTGTCGCCCTCTCCATCGGTAGCGGGCACTGCACGTCACGCGATCCCGCTCTGAAGCGTCGCTCTCCCACGAGTGTGCCGCCCTCTCCATCGGTAGCGGGCACTGCACGTCACGCGGTCCCGCTCTGAGGCGTCGCTCTCCCCAAAAATGACTGGGATGCCCCACTAGAGATTTTGAACTTTCGCTGCTGTTTCCATGCACCACACAATTATTGGGGGTCGGCAGAGGGTAATTCTGAACTTTCTGGTCGCTTTTCCTATCCATCGACTCAAAACATCCACGCTGCTTGACAGGTATGAGACTGATGGTGAGACATGAGATTGCTCTGTCCCGCATGCACCGAGTGGCCTGCCTGCGGCTGCCGCCACTGACCGAGGTGCGCCGGCGCCATGACAAGATGGGCGCCGCAGTCCACCAATATGCGGATGCAGTCGAGCCGCTGGAACTGCACGGCCGAGTGGAGAGGCGTGGCGCCGCTGCGGTCGCGGATGTGAACGCTGGCGCCGTGCAGCAGCAGGTGACGCAGCACGGCCGTATTGCCCTCGCTCGCAGCCACGTGCAGCGGCGTGCGCCGGTCGTAGTCCATGCTGGACACGTCAGCCCCCTGAGCGAAAGGGGTAGGGCAGGGGGAGGGGTGAACATGCGGGTAAGACGAGATACATGAGCAATCAGCCAGCATGGTACGCCTGAGTGATAAGTCCTTTCAACAACGTGGCACCGATATCCTGAGGGCCACCAAGGCACTGCAAGAACAGCATAAACACACTGGCTGCCGCTGGTCGCAGCAGCAGCTCACGACAATACGGATGCTCCTTAAGGACCCTCACTGGATTGCCATTAAGCGTACATTAGCCTGACGATTTTGTACGTCAACCTGTAGCGTGGCTTTCACCACCATTTTGCAGCACTGAACCCTCGAAAGCCCACCTTAACGAAACAGCCTCCAGACAAACGACCCCAGCGTTCAGTCACCAGCCCATGACCTGGTCCGGCGCCGATGACCTGGTCCGGAGCCGATGACCTGGTCCGGCGCCGATGACCTGGTCCGGAGCCGATAACCTGGTCCGGCGCCGATGACCTGGTCCGGCGCCGATGACCTGGTCCGGAGCCGATAACCTGGTCCGGCGCCGATGACATGGTCCGGCGCCGATGACCTGGTCTGGAGCCGATGGCATGGTCCGGCGCCGATGACCTGGTCTGGAGCCCATGACCTGGTCCAGAGCCCATGACCTGGTCCGGCGCCGATGACCTTGTCCGGCGCCGATGACCTGGTCCGGCGCCGATGGCCTGGTCCGGCGCCGATGACCTGGTCTGGAGCCCATGACCTGGTCCAGAGCCCATGACCTGGTCCGGAGCCGATGACCTGGTCCGGCGCCGATGACCTGGTCCGGCGCCGATGACCTGGTCCGGAGCCGATGGCCTGGTCTGTAGCCCATGACCTGGTCTGGAGCCCGAGCAGCCTCACTCACGAAGTTCCGCAGCGCGTCGATGCGCTCGATGGAGCCGCATTCGGCCGCAGAGCACAGCATGGCCGGGTACAGGGTCTCGCGCAGCCGCTCCACCTCGCCGCTCGAGGTCATGTGCATCTTGCGCGCGATCGCCTCCACCAGGTCCTGGTCGTGCAGCTCCACGTCCACGTGCGCGGTCAGCTCGCCGCGCAGGTTCTGCGTTATCTTCTGTTGGCGGCAGACACGGCGCGCTTCAGTTTATCGTTGTCCTTGCGTTGAGCCGACGCGGCAACACGTTCGCAACTGCTATTTTTCGTCAGTGGCTCATATACCAGAACTTCATCAGCGGCAGATTTAGGAAACGATGTAAACTCATTCAGTTAACCCTTCTGCGTCGTCAGTACCTTTTTACGTAGGCAATACGGACAGCAGTGGAGCGAACGCACACACTTTAACCCAGCACATCGGCGTAGATCAGGAATCACAGTGACACGGATGCCTGGAGCAGGTAGCCACCAAGTCTCCAAGCGCACCAAGTCTCGAGCGCGTCAGTCGGCCCGTACCTGTCGTTTGGTCTCGAGGTCCCACTCGTCCTTGGTGAGCACGTAGGCGAGCTTGGTGAGCGCGGCCTCGGGGGTCATGTCCGCTCCGGGGAGCACGCCGGCGTCCAGCAGGGACTTGCCCGTCTCGTAGGTGGCGCTGACGGCGCCCTGGAGGACGCAACTAGCCGTTCAGAGGATGCAGGCACGGGCTAGCGTCCAGCACGGCTGTCTGCGGTCGCACAGCCTGATCTCGACATAAGGACCCTATGAGACGCATTATGCTAACCAGTTGAGGCCGGGTTGTTGAGAACTGTCCACGAGCCAGTGGCTAGAATAAACATGCCAGTGGCTGGGGTCCACGAACTAGTGACTAGTGTCCACGTGCTAGTGACTTACGTCCACGTTCTAGTTGCTAGTGTCCACGTGTTTGTCATGGCCGCCAACACGCACATTGCGTTGGGTACCCACATAGATAAACAGATAGACACTCCTCAGCAAAGGGCGGCCGGCCTATTTTATGTTTTGTCATGCCCAACCGGCGCCAGCTTAACCGTGTCAGACAAACCACAGCCTGTACACCAGCTGCATGTGATGAGCAGTCCTATCAGCTTCTTCGCTGCGTATCCACACCTGACTGCACTGGGTGCAGTTGACGACGATGACACCTCGCTGTCTGGCCTGGTAGAAGGCGTCTAGCAGGTCCTTGCGGTTGGAGGGTACATTGCCGGCCCCGTACGACTGCAGCACTACCCCCTGGATCGGTTCTTGGAGAAACGCTTTCACCTGCGCAAACCGCGCCGTGCCGTTGGTGGAGATAATGCAGCTTGCCAATCTTGGAATCGATCGGCAAACGAAAAGTCCGTTGGTTTCTCCTGGATTGAGAACCGTGACGTTAAATGCACATGCTGTGCGCGACTCAGGCTGGCCAGCCCAGGTGCTTGGCTAGCCGTGTAATATCAGCGGGTATATCGTTCAACTTCCAAATTATCCCCAGCTGAGCACTTACACCAGTTTCGTAGCATGTGCTCTACCATCGGCGTCATTTCTAACAGGGTTTTTCTACACACACACTAACATTTCTCCTCCTACGTGGTCAACATTCACTTTGCCCACACCGGAGGCCTGGTCGTTTGCAGGGCAGTTCACCTGGTCAGGACTACTGCACGGGCGACGCAGAGCGCGTCACTGACCGTCTCCGTCGTGATGGAGGGAAACAGGCGGAGCAGCCCGACGTGTCGGCAGAGGCGGCTGTGGACCTCAAACCGGGCGATCGTCGTAGGACGGAATATCGTTCGGTAGTCAACTGCGAAAACAGTGCAGATGACATGACAGCAGAGTCTGATGATATGCTTTTTGGTGGGTGGGGAGAAGGGGGGGGGGGGGGGGGGATAAACGCGTATCGCCTTCTGAGAACAGAGCTTAGATAGATCTTTGCTTTGATAAATCAATATATGCATTCATAGTCATGAGAAAAGACACAGTTTTAGGCGGTTGCTGAACGAGGGTTCTTGCGGAAGGCAAAAACAGTAACAGCGAACGAGATGCCAGAGCCATTGTCGAGGCATATGCCACAAGGAAAGAGGTTCTAACTACCATCTCCAGAGCCCTCGGCCGCGAGCAGGAGCCAGCACCAGCTTCCACTTGGTCTGGCGGTGAGTCACCTTCGATATCGATGCCGACCGACACGAGCGGCGACAGGTTGGGTGAGCCGAAGGCGCTCAGCTTGCCCGTGCTGATCTTGGTGGTGCGGTTGCCGCGGAACAGCTCGTGGTTGAAGAACACGGTGACCTCGGGAATCGTAAACTGACCGGCCAGCAGCAGCGCCACCAGAAAGTTGTCGCGACCGTCGCTGCGCGTCTCGAAAATAGGGATCTGCAACGGCGACACGACGAAGCCCCTGTTCACACTAGGGTACGGCCTGCGACTTTCGGTACCGAAGGAGCGTTTGCCTGGCAGGTGTACCTGCTGACACTGAGGGTAGAGCTGCTCTCTTTGGCACGCGTCGCGAAACGTCGGAAGAACTGAAGTCTGCACTGTCAGGTAGCCCGCGTAAACTTGACTGAGGTTTGTTTGTGATGATCCAAGGACTTAACGGTCAACTGGTTCATATGTTTAGCACCACCACGTGCCACTCGCGCAGGATGTACTGTACTCAGCCTCCATGAAATGACATCAACCAGATGCCTTTTGCGGCGTCGGGCGACTAATGAAATAACATAGGTAAAGGTCAGCGTGATTTAGGTCATACAAAAACATGCTCAAAAGAAAACTACCGCGTTTAGAAGCTTATACAAGTTCGTGTTTATATCACTGATTGGAATAGTAATGAGTTGAGCTCATGCTGGAGCATTCAATCAGCTAACTTTATGGAATATTCAATGAGTTGGGTCATCTCCAATGGTTTTGGCAGGCAGAAGTCCACTAATGTATCATGCATGGTGTACAGGTGAAGCATCACGACTTTTTTTTTTTGCTTGGGCACATACTTGGACCACATGTGTGCATAATTTCTCTTATGGTTTAAGATCAGCCCTTTGCCTTATATAGTGCCTCACAACTGCCGTTTGTTCGCCTGAAATTCAGAGGCCATGTTTTAAACATTTAGTCTAAAATCTTTTGATTGGATCGATATTTGACATCAGAGCCCACGGCTCGGCAGTGCTCGTTGCGTGTGAGGCCAGACCCCACCACACCATCATGAAATTTCGGGTCAAGTTGATAATTTTGTGGCGTAAGTTTGCCGTGCAGTTAGCAGTGTTTGGCGCGGGCTGTTTTGTAGGGCGTCGTAGCATGCCGGATTATATGCCGTCGCCGTGCCACCGTTTGACACGAAGGTTATAGCGCTGAGCGCGTGTGCGGTTTATCGTAAGTGGCGTAGTGTTTCCTGTTGACCAGTCGGTCGGAGCACGTTACGGAAGGATCTAGTGGTGGTGCCGGTCTCAGGTGGCGCGCATGTGCTTCAGTGGAGACTCGTTTGACCCTTGGGCTCCCAATTTAGAGGGAGCTGGCCGTCGTTCAGCCTGGTCTCCTGACGCGCGCTCCTGGTCGCTCGAATCGCGTCGCGATCAGGGCCGGCTCGAGCGTAGCAGTGTGTGGGAGGTGGTGGAGGGGAGACTGAGTAGGAAAGCGACGGACCCAGGTGGTCAACAGGGAAGGGGCCGAAAAAGAAAGGAGAGTGAAATCATTTAGGCCTCTGGCTCGCCCGCACCCTGCGCAGAGACCTGGCTGTTTGGGGTGTCTCTTGTCCATTCAATGGCAGCCCTCTTCTTGAGCCATGATACATTTTAAGATCGCATCAATAAATGTCGATGGACTCCGATTCATTGGGAAATCGAGCAAGCAAAGACAATTGTTTTTGCTGGTTCAAGAAACGGAGATTAGATAAAGTTTCCATGCAGGAGACACATTCAGGCATAACAGCTGAGAACATATGGCTGAACGAATGGGGAGCACGGGGTGTTTTCGCTCACGGCGGAAACAGGAGCAGAGGGAAAGCCATCCTTATCAATCCAGATATGAAAATGTCCATCCAAACAATCGTTTAGTGTCCATCAGGTGGTTTTGTCATTCTCGTTGCGACATCAACGGGAACACATTCACGTTAGTAGACACATACGGTCCGAACACAGACAGCCCGAGCCACTTTCGCACCTTACTTGACAAATACGAAGACATACGAACTGGTGACATCATATGGGACGGGGATTTCAACTTAGACGTGGAGATCGATAGGTTTACTGCTGCAACCAGGTGTTACAACACCGACGAATCAAAACGGGCAGTTCAAGAATTTATGCGAGCAGACTTGCTAATAGACATTTGGAGGTCATCGAACCCTGAAGTTCGCATGCATACCCATGGACGTAGAGATCCACAAAGTAAATCTAGGATCGATCTTCTATAATTATTGACTCGTTTCTTTCCCAGGCTGAAGCACCCAAAGCCCAACTTGCGGACAGAATTATGTCCGATCGTAGGATAGTCGTTGTTGAGCTGAGCATTCACAAAATCAAACGGGGCAAATCATATGGAAAGTTTAATAATTCGTTGTTGCTCGACGATGTTTACCTGCAGTCGGCAAGACTGAAAATGGCTGAAATTATCTGAGAAAATTCGACAGGAGTATCAGCATGTTTGCTCCTGCACACAGTGTCGTGCGTGTTACGGTGGTATACAATACAGTATTCATCTCGCAAAAAGAAGGAGGGGGAAAAGAGATTAAATGGGTAAGAGAATGCCATAAATACGATCCAAAGGTCTAACTTATGCGTACCAGTCAATTCTGACGCAGTTCCACGGCTTGCCAGTCCTAAAAAGGAAAGAGGCAACATTCTGCGAGACGTAACTTCGGGCATGTACAGTTGTCAGGCACGGTGGCGACACCTTCCGGAGCGAAGTACCGCTTACTTTTACGGGTTGAACAAACGCCTCCACAGGCCTGGACAGATGGTGTTTAGGCCAATGATATTAAGCTATACTAAAGCCGGGCATACCACAGAATCCACATGGGAGGTGTCAAAACATGTAAATCTATTTTGAAACACTATACAAGCGATCAGCATGTGACGTTTGGAGCGAATTAATTTCATGCATCCATGGCATGACAAACTCGGAAGCAAAAGAGCTGGATATCTCTTATCTAGCTATGATATCTCTTAGAAGACAAGAACTCTGCAAATCCGGCGTCCGTGGCGAGCTCGACTAGCCCTGGTCAGGACGGCTACACGGTACCTTTTTGCAAGCTTTTCGGCAGGAACTGGGCACCATAGTCTGTGGCGCTGTTAGAGAAACACACGAGTATGCTCACATCCCACCAGAACTGCAGAAGAGTGTAACAATTCTCAGCCCGAAGCATGGGTGTTGATTTCTCAAAATGATAGGAGAGGCCAAAGTCTTGAAAGTCGCTATAAGGGACAGGTGTGAAAAATTCCTTGGATTTTTCCACTTACGATCTGGCCTTTCAACATACCATGTGTATATGATATATATATATATATATATATATATATATATATATATATATGCATTAGTACATGTAGGCAGCAATGTATGTTCTATGCAAGAGTTGCCAAAGACCTTGGAATAGACACATTTTATCAGCTTTATCTGTTCTTCCTCGAGTTTTCTGATTATCCCCCTCTGCCCATCATTGAGACTGAAAAGTGGCTGGCTGATGTTTGATATCCATTAATTGTACTAACGTTTCGAAATTACATCTTGCATTTTCAAAGTTACTCACATACATCATACAAGTGACGAATATTTAATTACATATTACGGTTGGTGTAAACAGTAAGGTAAAACCGCTAGGCATCATCAAGCTCAGTTCGATCCCCAAACTTTATAGTCTAGATAATGTGGTTGACATTTTTTGGGGAGTATAAGAATTCAAGCGGCAAAACACGGACTGAGTGGTAAGATATACCACCTACGGATGATAGCGATCGTTCCTAAATGAGATGAGGTGAAGGGTGATGAAGGGGGTCGCTTGCTTGCTTAGTTCCGGTGACAATGCTTTGATCGTGAGAGCCTTCAGGACACAAAGCTTCCTCCAGTTTGATGATAATGTTAAGATGTTAGTGTTTCTGGTGAAGTCGGTTGATGTTCCCGTCGTGTTCTTTTTGCACGTGCTCTTTTGGATCACCATCAGCCAAGTGCGTCGTCAACCGCCTTGAGAGTGTGGTGGTAGTGACACCAACGTAGTTTCATTGCTTTAGGAGTCTCCAATCTCCTGTGTCACAACGAAATTGGCAAACGACGTTGGTTCGTTTCAAGGAGTTAAAGTTGGCTGTGAGGTTATTTTTATGATGGGTTGGGTGACCACTCTCTTTTTGTAGTAGATGGTGAGCGTTATCTTGCCGTCCTGGCTGACTAACTTGACGTTTTCAGATATCACTTTCTTGAGAATACGCTCGTCTGTCTCATAACTATCAGACATTCGATTATAATGGAAGGGCTTGATTGGGTTTGGTTGATGTTTGACGGCGTCAACTTTTTCTGATATTGTGACACAAAGCTGCTGGTCTCACGGTCGATGGCGCTGCTGGAGAAGCCAACCTTTACTAGAACTTGCTTGATGCGCCGCAGTTCAGTGTGTAGTTGCCACCAATCGTAACAGAGTTTGAAGGCTCTTCGGAGGTAGGAGCGCACTACACTGATCCTGTACCGGTCGGGGTATTCGCTTGTGACACTGAGGCATCGTCCAGCATCTGGTAGCTTTTTGAAAACTGTCGTCACGAATTGTCGGTCAGCAGTGATGTTTCTATCTAGAAATGCAATACGGTTATTGACGCCCAGGTCGTAGATGAATCGGAGAACTGAAGCTTGTTCCATTGCACTTTTTAGTTAGATCAGTTGGCTTCCATCACTAACGTCTACGAAAGTCAGCATCAATGTTCAATGCAGTCTTAATGATCAAGTGAAATCCGTGCGTACTGGACCATTATTTGCTTAGTGATTTCTGACGTATTTGCCTACACATTTGCAAGAATTAAGTATTCAAACAGATGTGGATGTCACCACTCGTTTACACGTAGGCTCTCCACCAAACCGAAGTTTCATCGATAAAATATATGCGCTTCATTTAACGTAAAACAGGTACAGGCACTCCTCCATTCACCAGTAATGAAAAGGGTCCTCAACCTTTCCCTAAATAGCTGAAGTAGATGCCCTACTGTCGAGAATGTCTTTCCTTATTCATTTCCTTTCACCTGCCCCTCAAGCCCGCGGTGTTTAGGGGACACTGCTCCAAACCTTTGCGTCTCAGAACGGTAAGCGACCCGAACCCACCTAACTTCGAATGCGTGGCAAATCAAGCCCCGCAGTGCCAGTATGACGCGCAATGCAGGTTGGGTATAAAAACATTGCTGGTTGAGCTGGGTCTTCAGTGGCCACATGCCATTATACTGATGTACCCATATTCGATGCATAATGAGCTCAACCACGCAAATACGCAGCCATAATCCTGGTAAGGGGAGAGACATAGGGTTTACAAATGGCCCCCTCTTGGCGAAAGGCCTGCTCCCAAAACATTATCGGATATAGCTCACTTGATTTCAATGGGCGCAACTTCCTCCGTTTTATTCCAATATGTACCTTTTTATACCAACACAAGCTAAAAGGCACCGATACATGTCATTTTGTTAGTATTTTGAAGTCAGTAGCCCGAAGAAACCAGGCCTTAAATGACAACATAAAAACACAGCGGCTTTCATTTCGTAATTGCTCAGTACACTGTTTTCAATGGTAACGCTCAGGGGATTTCCCAGAATTTTTGCTGTGTTGTACAGGGATGTTGTAAATGTTGATGGTTAACGTCGATTGTATATCGAAATGGGGTTGTGGGTTTGCTTCGGCATGCCCGACCCCTATGTGTCTGGGAATTTACAACCTTTTGCCAGAATTCGTTTGTGAAAGAAGTACATCACATACTTTTGACCATGTGCGCTCGCAAGCCTTAGAACAAAATCCCTGACGCCTGGCGTTGCAGTCTCCGTA